GGGACTGAGAAGTCGGCCATTCCCACCCACTTGCCGGCCCCAACCCTGCTGCCGGTTGCCCTCTGTGTGTGGGGCGACTGGTGGGGCAGGGGCCTTGGCCTGGCACCGCCTGCATCCCCCCTACCCACCCCGGGTCCCCATTCGCCATCAGTGATTGGAGCCTGCCAGCTGGGGAAAGGGACCGAGAGGAGGTCAGGGCATCTCATAGTGACTGGTCGAGTGGTTGTTCCGGTCATTCTGCCTTTATGGTCACTGGGCTTTTATTATATAAGACAAAAGGCCCGCCGAAACCGGTTTGGCTCAGTGGATAGAGCGTCGGCCTGCGGACTGAAGGGTCCCGGGTTCGATTCCGGTCAAGGGCATGTACCTGGGTTGCGGGCACATCCCCAGCGGGGAGTGTGCAGGAGGCAGCTGGTCGATGTTTCTCCCTCATCGATGTTTCTAGCTCCCTATCTCTCTCCTTTCCTTTCTGTAAAAAAAATCAATAAAATATATTAAAAAAAAAAAAAAAGACAAAAGGCCCAATGCACAAAATTCATGCAAGGGTCTCAGCCTTCACAGCCCTGGCTTCGTCCAGAAGGTCTGGCTGTCTGGTCTAATTAGCATATTACACTTTTATTATTATAGATAGAAAGCAGTTAATTTGAGGAACTGTATCACTATTCTGAACATGATTGTTTTAATATAAAATGGTTCACTTAGCTATGAGACATATGACAGTGGTGGGCGAATCATACCAGATCCCAAAGAAAAAATAGATGCTAGTTGAGTCCTGAACCCTCTGATCAGAGGCTCAGGGTTTTCCAGGTACTTGAACTTTTCACCTTACAGGTACCTGCAGCCACTGACTGATTCCTTTGGCTTCTGTTTGAGTAACACAGGCTTATTCCACTGTCAGTTTAAATGGGCATTGCTGTGAAATTGACATTCAGCATGATCCGCTTCACAATTGCTCCTGTCATTCCTGTTTCCTGTACATTTGACCGTTTTAGGATTACTCTTCAAAACACATATTTAAGCATTATTGTCTTAGCTTAGTAGAAATAAGGCAATAAAGGCATGATTTTTATTGAGCAATCAGCACACTCCTGCATCCAAAGGCAATATAACCCTGCATATTGGAGACAAGCAGAATCAACTGACAAATTTGGGCAGAGAAAACCTGCTTTCATAGCTGATGGAGTGACTGTGCATTATTACTGTAGGAGGGGCATTTAACGCCACAAGTTTGGTTTCAAATAATTTTGAGAGGGAAAGGACATGTTGTTCCCAAAGGATTTTTAAATCATCTGTGGATATTTTTAATAAAAACCTGATCAATTTCCTGAGATGGAAGATGCCAAGAGTCCCCTTTGTTATCTGTGATGCTATTAATAGCACAAAAGGAAAGCTGTTTTTATTAAGTTTAGAAAGCTTTCCAAGACATGTTTTATTTCCCAGTTGAACTGATATTTAGAGGTTCAAAAGTGTGAAGCTTTGATAGTGTCAGACACATTTTTTATCCTTTTAAAAAATAAAGAGCTCAAGGCCTTTCCTGAAGAACTGATGTTAGCATTATTTTTAAAATTATATTTTAGGTTTTTAAAAAAGTAGACCATCAGAATAGCTAACTTAAGAAACCAAAGGAAAAGTAATAAAACAGACTAGTGTTTTACTCCCTGGTGCCCTAATGTATCTTGTGTTCAATCAGTGGGTGCCATTAACCTGGTACCCACCCATGTGACACTGAGGGGGCTTTGGGGGTGCAGATATGTGGCAGGACTGCATCCTCATTGCCTGGGCACAGCAGGTGCTCAAACACAGTTTGTTGAATGAAAATATGAGCCCTTTCCTAGCCTGGGGAGCATCTGAATTTTATAGCACTTATTTAATTGTGTGTGGGAATGGAATAAGCCGGGGGGAAATCTCCTCTTTTATGCCACATATACAGATTAAAATTTTTTTGAGGTGAAATTCACACAAAATTGAAATTTAAAAGTGAGCAGTTCAGTGACATTGAACACATTCACAATGTTATGGAGCCATCACCTCTGTCTAGTTCGAAAACATTTTCATCACCCCGAAAGGAGACCCTGTGGCCACTGGGGACGAATTTGGGTGAAGGTTAGTTTTGGCTAGGTTAGGGCGTGAACTCGGATCTGGGCTTCTCTGATGATTTAGCAACTAAACATTGTTGTTTTAAGACAGTTCATCCTGAGTGTATGTACCTCTTGGCTTCTCAGTGGGGAGGGCTGCCGTGCTAGGACTTGGAGCCTGGTTCTGATAGTAAGGTGGAGTTTCGTTTTGTGGACGTAAACTTGTCTGGGAACATGTACCCTGCTGGCAGCTAGTTTCACAGGTAAGCAAACTCCACAGACCCTGTTGGCTTGTGTAAAAAGACATACATGTCTTAGAGATAGTTTTAAAAGCAATCTTTGGCCTTGGCCGGGTAGCTCAGTTGCTTAGAGCATTGTCCCGATACGCCAAGGTTGAGGGTTCAATCCCCGGTCAGGACACATACAAGAATCAACCAATGGCCTATCTCGCGAGCCGCAGTTTGCCGAACACTGGTAACCAGTTTGGCTGAGTGGATAAAGCGTCGGCCTGCGGACTGAGGGGTCCCAGGTTCGATTCTGGTCAGGGGCATGTACCTTGATTGCAGGCACATGCCCAGTGGGAGGTGTGCAGGAGGCAGCCGATGGATGTTTCTCTCTCATCGATGTTTCTAACTCTCCCTCTTCCTTCCTCTCTGTAAATAAATCAATAAAATATATTTTAAAAAAAGAATCAACCAATGAATGCATGAATAAGTGGAATAACATGTTGATTTTTCTCTCTTTCTCCCTTCCTCCTCCCTCCCATTCTCTTGCTCTCTCTAAAATTGAGCAATAAAAATAAGCAACTCTTTATTTGAAATGATATAAGAAAATTTGCCCTGTAAGAATGATGTACCAGTTAATCGAGATCTTTGGCATACTTTAAAACCAGCTTCAGACTGGGGTTGTAAATAGGTGTGACCATGAATGAAAAATTAAATTTTTCTTTGGTCCTATGTCTTCAATCACAAAAATAAGTGGATTAAATCTCTCTGGACTGCTTCAATCTAAGCTATATTGGAACTTCAGTCTTTCTAATTTCTTCCTGTTGTAAAAATTAATTGTCCTCATTATAGAAAATTACCAACACATATAAAGGGAACAAGAAGGTAAAAATGGTCCCACTGATTAAAGACAACCACTGTTAATATTTTGGTGTACATCTTTTTTCTTTTTTTAAATATATTTTATTGAATTTTTACAGAGAGGAGGGGAGAGGACAGAGAGTTAGAAACATTGATGAGAGAAAAACATCAATCAGCTGCCTCCTGCACACCCCCTACTGGGGATGTGCCTGCAACCAAGGTACATGCCCTTGACCGGAATCGACCCCGGGACCCTTCAGTCTGCAGGCCGACACTCTATCCCAGCCGTGGGCAAACTACGGCCCACGGGCCGAATCCAGCCCGTTTGAAATGAATAAAACTAAAAAAAAAAAGACCGTACCCTTTTATGTAATGATGTTTACTTTGAATTTATATTAGTTCACACAAACACTCCATCCATGCTTTTGTTCCGGCCCTCCAGTCCAGTTAAGAACCCATGGTGGCCCTCGAGTCAAAAAGTTTGCCCACCCCTGCTCTACCCACTGAGCCAAACCGGCTAGGGCGGTGTACATCTTTTTCATTGCTCGCTTAAAAAAGCAGTATTTGAATAACATATGAATATGTACTGATTATAAAAGATCCAAATGCTAAAAAGGATGGTTGGGAGTGAGAAATGAAAGGTGCCCATCTTTTCTCCTTGCCCCTGGGTAAGCCTTCATACTGGTTAGTGACTGGATCCTTTACCAAACATTTAGACACAGGGAGGTTATTACATTTTTTATTTTATTTTATTAGCACAACTGGGATAATTCTAGGCTTACTGTTTTGTGATGTTTTTTAACCGTATTTCTTGGAGTTCTTGTCAGTACATCAATTTTCTTTTAATGGCTGAATATTATTCTCAAAATGCATATAGCATAATTTAAGAATGTCTTTTTGATGAACATTTAGGTTGTTTCCAAGTACTCAGTATTTTGAGTAATGCTGCAATTGTCAACCTTGAACATACACTTGCATGGCTCTGTTTGAAGGATAGGTTTCTTTGAGTAGACTTGCTGGTCCCAGAACATGCCTGTTCTAAATCCCAGTACTAAGTTCCCCTGCACAAAGGGAACCAGGTACCCCATTCCACCAAGAGCATAGTCTTTGTAATACCTTAAAGTAGCTTTTCTCCCACACCCTGCTCAACACCAGATTCCCCTCAGAATTTAAACATTTTTATACTTTTCTTCTCTGTGTTTTTAAAATGTAGTTGTTGGATTCATACAAACAATTATTTTCAGTATTATTTTTCAAGACAGGCAGCCAGGACCTGAGTCGCCTGTGTCACAGGGCATGCATGCAAGGGGGTTGTTCCTCGGAAGGCAGCTATGCTCACCACTATACCACCAACGCAAGGCGGGGGGGCGGGGGGGGTTGTTACTCGGAGCGCAGTGTGAGAGTGCTGTTAGGCCACTTCCTCCGTAGGGATGGCACTTGGAAGTCATTATCTTTACTCGGGAAGGCAGCTCAGTATGTCTCTCCCTGGCTCAGAAACAGCAGCTTTTGTCCCTCAGCCAAACGCTGGGGAGCCCAGTTCTGCTTTCTTTGGGTGTTCTATTTCGAGTCTCCCTCAACTGACCCTCCTGTTCACGCAGCCTCCCTCTGTGGGACACGTGGTATGTTTCTCCTCTATCAAAACACACGTGTGGTTACTAATGCAGCACACACTTGTTGCGAGTTTCATTTAAGAACACCGCAGACTTGGCTAAATTGATAGGTAAAAAATTGCACAGTTTTTGTCTCTTATGAGAATTACAAACAACTTTGGGGGGAAATGTTTCCGTACTGCAGAGAGAAATACTGTGAAACAGCCTTTAAATGCAGTGTTTCTCTTCAGGTGGTGATCAATGGAGGCGCCACGTCCACTGGTGAACAGGACAATGAAGACACAGAGCTCATGGCGATCTACACAACAGAAAACGGCATTGCAGAAAAGGTACCCCTTCCATCGCCACCCCGCTCCCCGCCGCGGCTGTCTCAGGTTCTGTCGAGGACGTGTTCTTCATCTGGGTTTTGTCTCTACCCTGCGGAGTGGGTGTGTGTTCTCTGTATAATGGAAATAGAAGTGATGAGGAGTGGAAGTTACTAATTTTTTAAAATCCTCACCTGAGGATATGTTTATTGATTTTATTTTTTTAGAGAGAGGTTGAGAGACCGAGAGAGACAGAAACATTGATTGCTCTCATACATGCCCCAGGAATCAAAAGAAGTTACTAATTTTTTAATTGTCTTAATGGCAATTAAGCTAAGTCTCATATAGAGGCCCTTATTTATATATTTTTAAAAGCCTCACTCAGCATGCCAGAAGGAAGGGGTTACGAGTTTGGGTCTGGGTGCTAATGTGACTCAGACCCTGATAATTACTTAAACTCTCTGGCATCAGTTGCTTCATCTCTAAAATGGAAATAAACAAATTTGTCTTAGGGTTGTTGTGAGGGTTAAATGAAGTAATATATGTAAAGTTATTGGCATTGTGTCTGGTACATACTACGTGTGCAATGACTAAGAGAATGAGAGAATGCAGTAGATAGTTTATTGTAGACTATGAAAACACCTTTAATGAAGGAAGCTCTGACCAAAGCAATAGAAATCACACTAAAAGTGGGAGAATCTCCTTTTGCTTCATCCTGTCTCCTTAACGGCCAGTCTGTGCGACCATTTTCCTAGATGCCAGGAGAGCTGCCCAAAGAGGGGCCAGATATTTGGATTTTTTTTTTCTTTGTATCTAACACATGTGATAAGTTTGATAATATGGCATTTTCAGATTGCATTGCAGCCCTGAGACTTCTCACTTTCATTTGATAGACTTATTTATTGATTTTATTTTAGAGAGACAGGAAGGCGGGGGGAAGAGAGAAAAAGAGAAAAACAGTGATTTGTTGTTCCATTTCTTTATACAGTCATTGGTTGATTCTTGTATGTGCCCTGACTGGGGATCAAACCCGCAGCCTTAGGGTATCAGGACGATGTTCTAAATAAATTTTAAAAATAGATTTTAACTTTATGGTGACAGTTACTAATTTGATCCATATATAATAA